AAAATTGATTTGGTGTAAAACTGTTTATTTTCGATATATACATATTTAAATTATTTGAAAGTTTCGTTGATGTAAAACTGTTTTGAAGATATTTTTAGGTCAATGTTTTCAAGCAAATATATTTTTTTTAATGGCAAACTCTTTGACAGCACATTAAATTCCTAGACGTTTCTTAATATGATTGTAATAATCCATAATAAAAACAAAAAAAAAAAACGCGATAAAGCATAATAAAAACGTTAAATTTATCTTTCTATTTTAAGTCTATAAGCACTCTATTTCTGCAATCTCGTACGATTATAGGGAAACTAGTCTTCTTTTCCAATATTAACTTGAGTTTAACTTTACTTTTTAACTTCTGATTCTTAATGTTTTTAATTTTGTTTATTTTTTTTTAACTAATATCAATGAGCGTTAAATGTTAGTTATATCATCATGCTTTTGTGAGTTAAGGCTTATTCCATGTAATTAAAAAATACATATTTAATACTGTATCTCTCTTGCCTTTTCCGTATGTTAATTATATCACCCTGAATTTTTTTCTGTGTTATGTAATAAAGTTAAGAATCTTAATTATTGAATTTTTGCAATAAATAGTTTTGCAAAGGTAAATGCGAATTTTCTGACAATTTCCAAAAACTCCTTCTAATCAGGCACATTTTTTTTGACCAACTTTGAAGCACGTTTGTGAACTGAATGATTCAGAAGCCCACTTTTCTGACCGAAATTTGCCATCCGAGTGAAATCAAATATATTTTTCACTCAGTTCCTTTCATCGAAAAGTTTTGCAAGCTAAATTTTTCGTTGCATCCTCAAAACCTATTGAAAATTACTTCATATTCGACCAGTCGTCAATAGCTTCTATTCTTAACTGTTGGTAAATCAGAGTGGTAGAACGACGTTGGAAGGATTTACGATCTTGTGGTATCTCTAAACAGCTTCTATTTAACATTGGAATTTCTTATTAAATCGGCTTCAGAATTCGAGTGGAAATTTTAAGGAAAAGAAACAAGCCATGCGGTTTTAGCTAATAATTGCTTTCCGACACGAACTAATTGCACTTCAAGTTTGCGCTTTGAAATTATTGCAACTGACCGATGTTTAACTGCGTACTTTTATTAGGAATTATTCCTATGCATATTTAGTTCCGTTTTATAACTAAAATAATTTAAGCTACGAAATATTTTCAGAAATTAAAGGGGTTTATTAGAACATTTCCTACTCTCGCATTATAGTGGATTTTTCTGTTTATAAAATGTATTATATTTAGTTTTCTTCAACGTCACAAACATATACACGCTCCAAACCTATACTAAGAACCGATTAAAAAAGTCAGTTCGACGAAGATTTTTTTGCTTGATACATTTTGTATGTATAATATAAATAATTAACTAATGTATAAATTTTCACACACAAAATATGTATTACTCATTTACCTACATGCATCATTCCTAGCAACAAAATCATAACACCCTAATCATCACTAAATAGCTATTAAATTTTAACAGAAGAGCATAAAAACAATTACTTAAGAATATAAAAATATTAATAAAACTATAGACACTAAAGTGCCTGCAACAAAACTTTATTTAAATTTTAATACTCTGTAAAACACCTTAGGAATTTGTTATTCTACTTTTCAGAATGCTTATAAAACGATAGTTGGCAATAGTTTTACATCACCTCGTATGTGACAAAACGGTATTTTTTTTGTGGATTTCTGCACGATTCATCAACTTTTTTACTCATTTACATAGAAAAAAAATTATAAATAAACGAATAATATCTTACTCCATATCTTAAAATACCGAGTGTTCTAGAGACAACAATGTTTTGATATTTTTAAAGGTGAAGAAAATATATTTATTATAAAAATTCTCAAGTGGATTTTAAACTGCATGACGTCTTTATATCTTTCGAATGCTTTTCGTTCTTTTTAAATTAAGCGCTATGAATGATTTTCTATATTTAATAAATCTTAAAAAATATCACTTTTTTTAAATAAAATAAAGTAGGAAGCCCTGCTATAAGCGGAAAATTACTGTAATATTTCCCTGGATATCTCCTAAGATTGATAAATCATGTTGGGATTATTTGGTGTTGTGTCTGTTGGCACTTTTACTCGTTTTTCAAGAGTTTAAAAAATCTCGAATTTTCGTTCTAGATCTAGAGTTCTAATTACAATTGCACAAGTTACACCCTTGTTTTCAGATGCCAACAAAAATAGTTTTCATATTGTAGCTTTTGATTGTGTTCAAGAACTTTGTATATATGAGACACCCTGTATATTTTTGTATCAGTAGAAGACAAGATTAAAAGGAAATGTTCAATTCTTTTCCTCATAAAATATTTTTGCTCTCATTGAATCTTATGTCGTGGTGAATCAATCTCATTCTCATCAATTTCAATCGCAATATCCGCATATTCAATATTAATGTTAATATTCCAAAAGTTTTATTTGAGATTGTATCCAGTAGCAATCTAGTTGAAAACATTTTACTTCGCCCGAATTTTATATATTCCGTGCACACAAAGCGCCCTTCGTAGATTTTTCAAGAATCCCTCATATCCGATGCAAGACCCGTACACAAGTCGAGGTAATTTTGTCGTAAGTTTCTTCGTAATTCCCCCAAAGGACTAGTCTGTGCTCAAAATTTGTACGGCCCTCCATTTTCTGCAATCGCTCAACTAAACTCACCCCGGGAGGCACGAAGTGAGAAATTAGTAATGGAATGTTCCAGTTGAACAAATAGTTCATCCCTTCTGGACGATCGAAAGTGTGAAATATATATAAAACGAAATGAAAACTCTTCTCTTTAAGTGCCGTAAGTTGTTCCAGTGTGGCTTTAGTAGACAGTTATTGGAGTTAAATTTTTGTTGCTTGGAACTGAGCAGGTTGAAAAATTAGACACTTTTTTAGAAATCTGTTTGGCTTTTTATCAGGCAATATTCGGGTTTTCATTTATGTAGTTTCAGTTTGTATGGGCTTATGGATGGTTCGTTTTTCTTCAATGATTCTGATCTACTGTGTGAATTCATATCGGACCTTGTCATAGGCATCAGTAAGGTGTAGACTATTGAAAGAAGATTTATTTTATCGAGTAGAAGATGGTGATGGGCAAGTTCATAAACAGGCGAAATTTTCAACCGTTTGTATTTCTTATTTTTCAAACAGAAAATGCTTCAAACTGTGCTGCACTATAACGGTTTTTGGCTTAGACGTTCGACTTTATTTTATAACCATTGTTGATCAATTCAAACATTCAACCTTCAAACACAGTAGCTCTCACAAAATATTAATTTTTGATCAAAATTAATTATGGTTTTTAGTGTTATAATTAACTAAAAAAATTGCACTTTCGTCATTGTTCTTCTGGGTTTAGAAGCGATACGTGTGCTGGACAAAGCCCAATGTCGAGTAATACATTAGAGCTTTCAATGAGGTTGAGCTAAAAATAATTAAATAATTAGGATGTATTAATAATACAAATTCTTTATTTATAACCAGCAGTCCATGTGGACAAAGCCATACATTACGGCATAATTACGTAAACCGGTTGTAACTTATTATAATATAATATGGAAGCCGGAGTGCTGTAAAGCCAATAATTAAATTTCAAATTATTACATTAATCGGCTAAAATAATATGAACTCGAGCTGTGATGAGTTTACTTAGTGAGAATAATTTATACGTAGCCAAGGCGCGTAAAAAAATTAATTTAAACTGAAATATACAGAAGGTTCTGTAGGGCATCGGCAAAACATCTGCCTGAAAATTTTTGCAACATTTTGCAAAAATTTTGCATTTCGCAAAAGGAACTTTTTAAAATAAACTGGATAAAATGTTGATTTATTTAAAATTTAATCACTTTCCTTACAGTTATAACAGTATATCCAGGATTTTTCAATATTTTTCAACGAAAACTTAACCAGGCCTTTTAATGCAACAAATACATGGTTTGATCGGAAAGAACGTTTACTGAAGCTTTACTTTTGTTGCCGATTTTGGCTGATCGTAATTATTAATAGTTGCATAAAAGGATTGTGACCAATAAATCAAAAAAACATTCCAAAAATTTTCATGCAAATCGTTCTTATAAAGTTTACAGCGATCATATAAACCACGGATATAAGAAGTGTTTGCAAAAATGGGTCTAGAACAGATAAATGAACCCCGTTTGCTGAAAATATAGAACCGGGTCACCAAGAAATAAGTTCCACAGGATAAATTAATTTGCAGTTCGCATTTGTAAATTTCAAATTGCCTTTTTGTCTCCATAAATATGCTCATTTTGGAACTTAGCTGCTTGTTTTCTTGCCAAACCAGACTCATCAGTAAACAAAATACCGTTGCCGAAGTTGAAATTAACTTCCTCTTGCTTGCATAATATAACAGCTTATTCTTGCTGATTGTTTCCAAACGGCATAGTTAATTTCATGTTTTTCGCTCGAAAGAGCAACTCCGGATTTCCAACCAAAAGAATAGTAGCGTTAACTATTGATTTCTCGTTTGAAGTTAACGAGTTCGGCCATAACGAAAAGTCAGAGAAAGACAATTAAATATCAAATAAAGCCAGACGGTTATAAATAGGGTAATATGGAAGTGAAATAAATCAGGACAGTCTACTACTACTGAGTAATGCTCCATCGCATGGGGAAACGTTCATAATTTATCTTGTCAAGACAATTTACTTTCCAAAGTTATTTGTTTGCTGGCGGACTGTTAATTCACACTAACCGAAAGGGACACTTTCGACTTGCACACTACTCTAATATATCCTTTCCTTACCGAACTTCTGGAGAAACTTTGCTCCATTTCCAGTTGTTTATCATATACCAACAAAGGCATTAAGCGAATGAAATCATAAAGGCGTTTGCATTTATTATGAAGGCAAATAAAGGAAATTGCTGGAACTGAAATAGGTCAGCCACATATGATCAGTAAGTTTTCTGCATATTTTAACTTATAAAGCTTGATTAAAAATTTTCCAGTTTATGTCTTGTGTAACCTCAGACAATAAGCAAAGGAAATATTGGTTTTACGTTGATGGAAAATTTGTTTGTGCTAGAGACAAAAGTCCGATCTCAGTCGACTTGTATAAAGTTTTTCCATTTGAAAAGTTAATAAAAATTTGATAACTTCGATTGAAGGATTTTGAATTTCATTAAGGTTATGCCATTTTATGAAAACTTTGTTCTTTATGTTCAATTTAAAATTGTTTGCACGCAATTCAAGTCGAAGGACAGAAGTTATGAAATTCACTAAAGTAATAAAACAAAGCAATAAAAAATAGACTGATAAACAATTTAGGCCTGGGTAACACAGTGTTGAGTTGCGTTATTGAGTTGTTGCCGCTCTCTGAATTAACGAGTTATAACTAATCGGTAAATGAGTTATAAGTTATTTGTTAAAGCTTTACGAGACCCGAGACTGGAATTTGCACCTCCAAAAAAAAGGTCATCAACATTTTTTCTGAATAACGTTTACTACTTTGTTCAAACAACTGAAAACTAAAAAAAAGCGGTTAAGAAGGCGAGTGTTCCAATAAAATCTATCTTATAAATGTTCACAGAAAATATCTGAAGATTATCAGTATTTTAACTAAATAACAATGCGATTTTTGCGTAGAAAGAATTGCTTAATAGACACTTTGTTAAAACTAGAATGACCTGAAAATTTAAGGAAACTTTAAATATTTTCAGAGCGATGTGGCCGGCGAATTTTCCAAATAATTTCTTGCAAACTTTTACTCCCTGGCCGTTTTTTCAAGAAAATCCTAATTACTTTCGGTAAAAATCTGAATACATTTTTTTGATTTTTGTGCCAAATTCTAAGTTACAAAGGGTTTTCTAAAGTTCCCTGCAAACCGATGAATAAGGCGAATTTCCTAGCAAAATTAATTTTGTAATTTTTCGCTGAAAAGACCCCATTATTGTCAGATTATCTTGTGTTTTCGATTGAAAACTTTTAGTTTTGTGATCGGTTTGTATTAAATTCGAAGCTGAAAAAAGTTTTTGTAAAACTTTTACAAAGCTATAAATGTATCTTCTAATTTTTCGCGTAAAAGACCTTCAGATCGTCAGTATTTTTAAATAAAACTTTTATAGCGTTTTTGAGAAGAAAGTAAGCAAAACAATTCAGTCAAACCGAAAAATCCACATTTTTTTTAACAAACTCTACAGTCTTCAGAGGAATTGAGGTGCCGAAATTTCCAAATAATCTGTTATACATTTTCGCTTATTCTGTTCGTTTTCAAATATTTTTTTTTTGTTTCTAATTCGACGCTGGAAAGGTATATCAGGTTTAGGAAAGGTTGGGTTGGCGCACCAGACCATTTGCGCAGCACTGCGCCAACTCCTAAAAATTCACTGAGTTACCCAGGCCTAAAACAATTAACTTATTATTATTATTATTATTATTAACGATTATTAACCACGATGTTAAAGATTTTTTCCTGCAGCTCCATTTTACCTGGAAAACGGAGATAATTTTGCACTTTCCATCAATATTGCCTTCTTTAGTAAGGTGAAAGGCTTCATGTAAGGTTGTAAGATTTTAAATAGTAGGAATTTCGATTCCTGGATCTGATTAGTGAGTAAGGTTTGAAAAGTATGCTTCAGATTTGACTGCTCAAGAAAATAATCGCTATGCGACGAAATTTTACGTAACTTTGCTACTGGATAACTTTTGATCGCTGTGAGCGATTTGACTTAGGTTTGAAGCCTGTTCAAGCCCAATACTTTTCCAGTCAGCAAGTGGTTTTAGAAAAAAAATAGTACTGCAGATAAAGTTCCTACAGGGTAGAAGCTGAAACAAAGCAAAATTTCAGAAAATTCGGCATAGTCTCAATCTGAAAAAGAAAGTCGGATTTCAAGATAAAGATATTCTGTGTTGTTCGAGAGGATTTTTTATTTTTTTGTTTACATTTTTTAGGTTCAGAGTCAGCACAACGAAATTAAAGCTTTGGTCTTGCAGCAATAACATTTTTGTTATTGGACCATTGTTCAAAAAATCGAGCTCATGTTGAAACTAAAACTTCATAGTCGACCTAAGACGAAAATCACTTTGATTGAAGGTCTTCCAGAATCGGAGAGTTTGGGGGCAGTTCTGATTTGGGTCACTTTTAATGCAACCTTGTAAATCGAAGTTTTACCTTCAGTCGACTATGAAGTTTTATCTTCAACAGGAGCTCTTTATTTGAAAATCGGTCCAAAGTGAAAAATGTTATCGCAGCAATACCAACAAGATGATTTTCTTGAACACCCTGTAAATACATGATATCGCGAATAATTCAACAATCCTTTCCAGTGTTTAAAGTCTTTCTTTACACCGTTGGTGTTGAAATCCATAAAGATACATTTAAGTGTATCTGGGAGTATGCCAAGCTTTCTGGAGGCTTGCATTATTTTATTTTTCATATTGTAGGAATTTTGTCTGAAGTACTACATTTTTGCAAAAACACTTCCTAACAGAAAAACAATTGAACTAGATTAACCCTTCAAACAGAAATCAAATCGCTCACAATAATTAACAAATTTGCCTCGGTAAAATTAATTTTGTTGAGCAGTTTAGTGGTTAGCACTTTCTAAATCTTTTATAACCGGATTTGTATTAGTATATTGGTCTTAATAATAATTTCTTAACGTTTTTAAATTATTCTACTCTTGTTCTCGATAAGATCCCGTTTATATATAGTGCATGGTATCTTTTGTCGCTACATGTGTATATAAAGAAATTGAGAAGATACGAGAATTCTTAATGTAGATAATAATTAGTCAAATAAAATTTATATATCGCGTCGCATAAGCATATGATCTGGTATCGGCACGTGGATGACACTTTTGTAATAAAGAGACCCGAATGGAACAATATAGACAATTTCCTAAATCTTCTGAATAGGCATCATCCAGATATACAATTCACTATGGAAGAAGAACAAGACTACTAACTGGCTTTCTTCGAGTAGTGGAGAAAACTTGTAGAGTCATATTGTAAATTGGTAAAATTTTTGTGCTTGGCCGCACAAGCCTGAAGATTTGGTCAAGCCAAGAAAGATGACGCTCACGTCTAACTGGAAATGAAAAAATCGCATCGGTGCAGTGTAAGTTTTCGAGTGAAACACCTCTGAACGCCAGGAAGAAATTGTCCTACACACACTTTAAAAGTTTGTCTTGAAAATTCACCGAATTGAACATTTTTGAAGATTAAAATTTCACTGTTGCGCGCTTTTGTATTTTAATGAGAACGAAGAAATCTCTGCCTGCATTAAAAATCACTTTTGGCTTTCAAATATAAGCCCATCAAGCACAAAAAATCCCTTAAACAACTTAAAATCACTAGAACACGTATTTTTATTTAAGTTTCTTGCGTATTTTGACTTGTTTGTAACACGTCCTTTTTTATTCCGCTTGTTTTTTGGCTCCAGTTAGATTAATTATATTGAGTAAATGTGTGAATTACTTACGAATAATTAAAACATGTCCACATCCATAAGTGATCGTATGGCGAGCCTCCAACTAAGCTTTCTGGAGGCCTACGTTTTTGACCGGAAGGTCCAGCTCCTGATCCTCTTTGCCTGTAAGAAATGGCCGACATTCCGGAATCGCCTCTTCTCGAACATTCTCTTTGAAAATACGAAACTCCGGCCTCTAGAAAGTCGACTTCTTCTGTTATGGGCGAAGGAGTCGGTTCTTCACTGCAACAATGGGAAATTTTGTGAAACTACAGTTGGAGTAAAGCTAAGATAGTTTTTTGCATTACTTGGACAAACAAGTTTGGGATTTTATTAAAAGAAAACTAGCAACTTTTCGAATTTTTCTCTTATAAGCTTTTTGTGGAATTATAAATATTTCCCTAGTATGACAATTTGGTATACAATTAGTAACTTCAGCAGAGCGTCTGGAAATTAAACCAATAAAAAAATACTTAAAGTCTGCAGTAGTTAACATTACCTAATGTACTTCGAACGTTTACATGTGATGATCAATATATGATACTATTGTTAAAAATTATTAAAGAAAATGGTACGAGCAGAATCTCCACTCCCAAGGTTTCCAAGGATAAGAAACCATCGATTCCAATTTCCACTGAAAAAATATAAGCACCAAATGCATTTTTTTAAAGTTTTTTTACCGTGTAAAATGTGATCTATACATGCGGCAAAATGCGCATCCTAAATAGTATTTCTTTGGAACATTATTAATCAAAACGATTAATAATATATAATCTCTAGCTTTTAGCAAAAACAAATTTTACGTGGAAATAGTATTTTTATCTTCTTTCAAATAAGGAAATTTTCCAGATTTTTTAATATTTAATCCTATTCTCTAGTCCACTGTCATTTTGGGCCTAATTCACTTTAGGCTTTCTCATCATTTAAATTTTTAATTAGTTCCGATCTAATTTCAGTCCAAACATTTCAATTCCTGACCCTCTTTCCTCTGCTATTCGATGGAAAAGTCCTCGAGAAAAAATCGCTCCTGCCCCGCCACGGTATCTAATTACATTCATTATAATTAACTGAAATTTAAATTAAGGATCCGGAAGTTTTTGTAGTCTATTTTGTCAAGTTGCGCGAAGTTTTCCAAGTTCATTTTTTATGACGAGCTTCTGCAAACGATTACAATATATAAGCATTCCCGAAGAAAACGTCTTTTAAATGTTACTCAGGAGGGTTTGTTTGCCGATTTAATTTAATTATCGTCAGTGCTTCAGCACTTTCAATAGGAACTCCGTTTCAGCTTAATATAACGAAGATCTGACAGTAAATCCATTTGCCAGTAAGATTTCGTCTCAAGAGATTATATAATTCCGGTTCGTAAACTTGAGCATTATACGGTCGTAATGAACATCTCGCAATCGGAAAATCTAATTTTTAAATTAAATCGTTCTTCGGATTAGGACTAACGATAAATTCATTACTTTCCAATTCCACTTTGGAGAAATAATACGGGACAGAGTAAAGCCCCGGCCGTTGAAATTCTCTCATAAATTTCGAATCGCCTTAAATTGCTTTTGTCTGGAAGTTTGATTACGCCTAATTGTGTATTATCAATAGAAACAGAAATTCTGCTTTTAGCTGATTACCGCTTGCTTATTCTTGATTACTAAAAAGGTTGTGTTTTTTTTTAAGAAACAACGAGTTAAAATTAATTGCACTCTTTAAGCTCACTTTCCTTTTACTGAGTCAGTTTATTATAATGCTGGTGAAAGCTAATGCAGCGTTTGTTTATATACTAATTGTTAGAAATTTATGAAGGATTTTGGAACTCAATCAATTAAAGAATGTTTTGTTTGGATAACTGAAAAACCGAGTGAGAAGACAGCTTGCTTAAATACTTTTTTCAAAAGTCAATTATGTTTATTCCATTATTTTGAATATCCACAAATAATAGGAATTTAGTAGATCGCAATGTAACACGATGTTCTCGCTTAGTAGCTACATTTTGGCAATTTTTGGAAATTTCTAAAAAATATTAAATTTGTCTATTACGAATGTATAAAAATCTTTAAATTAATTTCATTAGAAGAAAAGTTGATGCAATAACTGAATATTAGGCCAGATGGTCTCACTTTTCTGACCTTTTGGTAACTTTTTTGTCGGTTTCTCATTGAATATCTGTACACTTACCTAACTCTAGGATCGAATCGTAAATCACTGGTTGCTTCTGATCTTCCTCCTAATAAGCAGACAAGTGAAGAAGGCTCTGCAATCACTTCAAGATCGACTGATTGATATGGTAACCACCATTCGCGATTTTCTATATGCACGGATACCTACATTTTAAATGTATTAAATCAGACGAAGTAGTACAGAATTTGCGGCTCTTAGTGATTTATAAATTTAAAATTTATACAAAAAAAAATTGACAAATAATGTACTTACTCGTTTATCAAACAGTTTGACTCCAAAACTGATAACGTCGCTTATTGGTTCTCCTTGTGGAGTAACATAGTAGACCAACAGTTGACTAACTGGAGCCATGACGGATTGCACTGGAAAGCTGAAAAAAAATTTAATATTTTTATTAGCAATAGAGTTTTTTTTAAGTCAAGCATCCATCTGCTTCCCCAATGCACTCGACAATTTAAAGTAAGGTCGGCGTGGGAAAAGTTCAGCAACATCAAACTTGCGGAATGCTGCAACTGGAAGCTTTTAGAAAACCAGCATATTTACATTACTATTTGAGTTAAAACGGCGTTGCATAGTTTGCTGCCAAGTAGCGAGAAACTTGTTTAACTATTTAAGACATTTAATTAGCTGAGATCCAGTTATAATTTATGGCAGAACAAATAAAACTTCGCCAGGATTACATTAATATTTGTATATCCTGTAGGAAAAACCACATCTTGTTCTTTCGGTTTTGTTTTTTTTTCCATTTGAAATTGAATCAGAATAAGCGAAAATAACAATGCAATTTTCGGAAAACACTTTTCCGAAGAGGTTTTTTTCGACTATTATTTCGGGTAACAGTGAAGTGAAAATAATGGTAAATTAAAGCAACTGTGTCATGATATTCCTTGTAAACCCTTTATTTTATCTCTACTTTCTAATTTTTTTCTTGTCTCTAGATTCTTGAACGGACTTTTGGACTACGAAAAGTATTGTTTACAAGGTATGAATAGTTTTAACTTAGGTACAATTCAATAAACTGAACTATGCGTTTCCAGCATAACAATAATTGCAAATTTTTTATAAATGAGCTTATGGTGAATTAAGAGTATTATTAAATCCACTTCCATAATCATTTAATTGATTGTTATATCCAGATTCGCTAAATATAAGTCGAATTAGTAACGCCTTATCGGTCCGTATTTATCGCGCGTTAGACTCAACCAACTGGTAGGCTTTAAGCAAAAAATCGTATAACAAAAATAATTTCTTTGCAAAATTAATACCAAGATTTTACTAAGGAGACTTCCGACTTTGCATGTTTCCTTTTATTCGAATTAAATACATTTCTCGTTTTATCAAGAAACAATTCCAAAGTTTGCTTTACTAGTAAGATCATAGAGACTGGAAAGTTTCTCTTCAGTATTTTAGTTTTCCTCTTTCACGCTACAGCCAATTACATGCTTAAGTTCGGAAGCCAAACTTAGGTCAACCTTAACTATAAGGCGGAAATTCTGAAAAGTTTGCATGGTTTCGCAAGGATAGTTTACTTCTTGCCGTATGTTCAACAAAATGTAAATTGCGGTCCATGAAGCACTTGAGAATTTACTCTCTATAAAATTAATCGTACATTGGAAATAGGGAAATAATGAACTTCTCGAATAGTTTTATATACTTTGGGTTCATTCGAATGCACGTCGAATTCGCACTACTTCAAAGCATTCGTTCGTTAAGTGAGCGACTATTTCAATTGCGAAATGTTTGCTTGGCACAAAACTTGCAGAAATAGGTAACACACTGTGCAGAGGATTTTGTAGCAATTACGACTTATTTGGGATGGAAAATGTTAGTTGGCAATTAGCGTCAAAGCGAAAAAGCCACCGCATGTTATCCAGGAAAGCGACTACTTCAACTTTTAACCATCTTAAGTAAATTGAGGCTTCCGGAAATGCGGGAAAACGTCTTATTTAATATTCGGAATTACAATACTTTTCCACAGTTTTGCACTAAGTTTAACTTAAATTTTTGTGAAAGAATTGGGCTAAGAATCGCCGACATTTTAATGATAAAAAGTACATTTCTGGTTGAAATATGAAACGAGCCTGGGCACAATGAACTTGTTTATTTAAAAACAGGCCTCAAGAAGTAATAGGAAAACACATAATCACAAAAAGACGAGAAGGTAATAATAAAAGCTAATACGAAGAAATTCCGATAGACCACGGCTTCAAAGCCCGGAAAACATTTCCAAATGTAACAATAATAATGCAAAAAAAATTAACGGTTTTAAAAACTAACTTATATTCCCTAGTGTTTTACATTGCATGTATTCCAAAAATGTCCCTTATTATTGAGATCTCACCACATACACGTTCCCATRAAAAGTAATCCATTATGCCATAATCACATGATACGTGATTCCACCGACAAAACAAATTTGCATCTGTTGTTTTGTTATTTTTCTCTTCCAACTCASTGCTTGTAATATTTATTATTCACCGCTTTGTTTCGCTGTTTTTTATGTTCACGTTTTCCAACTTGTATAGTGGAGCGACACGTTCTGCTGCAATTAATTTTTTTACAATGCCATGTTTGTTTTATGCCAATTACCAGCTATGAAAGATTAATCAGGAAAAACATACTTTAAAGAGGAACAATTGATGGAAATTATGGTATGATAACAACGGTGTAAATTGGGGCAATTTTCAAACTTTCTATAGTAAAAGATTCTTGATCAGCTCTAATCGTTTACATAAAAGTGAAGATGTTTCCACATCTCTTCAGATCTTGTGAGTATTTCCTAGAGCCTTTAAATTTTCTAACCGAGAACAGCTCTTGCAAATAATTATCTATGAGTTTAAAAAAAAGAAGTTTCTGGATTTTTTTTCTTTAGTTATATGTAAGATTTCTTTGATTACTGAATAATCTAATTTTTCATATACCGCTGTCTAAAATTATGCAAAAGGATCAATTTCGGGATTATGTCGGATAAGATTGAGAATGAACGATATCCGAGCGCTGCTTTGACCTTTAAGACCCTCCAAACTAAAAAAAAAACAATCATAAATAGTCACAAGTTTTTGAAAAGGCAAATTTAGTCAACAAACTTTTTCAAATCTCCACGAACTCACCCACGATATAAGACTAAATGTTGAAATTACTTTTAAAGGTATATGTTTTGCCCAGATCTTCATTAAAAAATTTTTAGATAAATGTGCAGGAATTAAAACAGTTGGAAGCCAAAACGGGAAAAATGGCGATTTATGAAAGGTGTGTTAAACTAGTTTTCCGTTGAAACCGTTGTTTGAACAGCAGCCGAATATCCTCAAACTCCTTTGGTAGCTTTATTTATTTTATCAACTTTAAAAACTCCATTGGCAATTAGAATGAGAAGCTGAAGAAACCGCCTTCTTTACAACGGGCAAAAACTTATTTTCCAATCAATCCAATCTTTTCTTAATACTTTTCAATAAAACCCTATTGATTCCTTCAAGTGCAATGCCGAACTTTCTCAACTTTATTTTTCAATTGCTCAATGTAGTTTAGTTAGCAAAAAAAATTAAGTTCTATTGGTTTTATAATGCTGAAACCAACCACCAAAAAGGCATCAGTGGCTTTGCACACAGCGACCAATTGTCTATATGCAGAGAATGAAGAGCAAGTTAAATCGCTCCAACAGAAGCCTAGATATGCTCTCATTGTCTCCAAGCGGCTTTGCGAAATCTGTCTGATGTAAACAATGCCTAACTGCAGGAATAGTTGCTTAGCGTTTATCGTTTTATCCTGTTCTCCATTGGGATCTCTTTGAGTTTCAGCTCAGAATATGGCTTGTCGAACTGGACTGGCCATTTTCTGTTTTATCAATGCTCTTTATCACGAGCTGAATACTATTTCTACTACTAAACATTGTATTTGTTCATCGGTTTTTCACTTAAATTTGAATAGGAAAATGAGGGTACGTGTTTTGTATAAGTGCAGAGCTGATAGATTTAAAAATATTCAGGCATATTTAGGGCCTTTATAAAGTTGCTCCATTTGTAGACTAGCAATTATCAGTGTATTTAGCCAAACATCCTACTAAACTCTTCAAATTAATTCCATGAAAGTATGAGAACTTCTACCTCATTTGTGTTGTCAAATGCGTTAAATACTGTAAAAATGTTTTATATTGAGTTCTAGATTTTATAGCTATTGCCTTTATTTCGAAATTTTACTTCAGCTCTAATGAAATATCGATTCATTTCAATAATTTTCCAACCTACGTTTTCCATTTGAGCAAAATTGAATGTTTGCGGTTCCATCGGAATGCGACTGGACTGTTCCATAGAGCTCGTCTAAGAACTCTTTGGTAATACGAGCAAATGCTGGCTAAGTAGAAGTGCTTAAGCTTTAAAAGCTTTCTCTATTAGTCTTATCGTTTACCCAGATTATCCCCTATTTTATTTCCTTTGAAAGAGATTATAGGGATTATTGCGCCATTGGTACCAAACGTGTGTTTTAAATGGATCTTGGTTGCATCCGGCGGACTATTATTGACTATCAGGGAATTTATTTTAGAGGATTTGACCACTGAGTGTTATGCTACGTTTTGCTTTTTAGAAGCAAATAAACACATTTTTGCAGCATAACTAGCAAATTCTATAACATTCTAAAGAGTAACTTTGAATTTATTCTTTTGTGCGTTTTTGTTTGTATGATCATTCTTATTTTTGGCCAACACAAAATCATCTACAACTAGTTTGTGACATGTGTATGGTAGACTTGAAATACAAAAACCAAACAAAAAACGAAATACGTAATATTTCGTATGCAGCTAAAAAGCTCGATTTGTATTTGTTAATCCATGAATTTTAACAGCATTGATTAGATTTTAATGGATAATTTTACTAAACGCATATTTGAGTATAAAATAAAGTGGAATATAAAATTCCTATTGGATTTACCGATGAACGAATTTAAAATAGCTGCTGGATATATCTTAGCTTAATCAGGCAAAATACGGTAATTAAAGTGAAAAAAATGGAAAATCATTTCCTAATCTTTCGTCAGATTTTAAAAAAATGTAAAGAGGAAAGGGTTTTTATTGTGAATATTATGTACTACAAAATTGTTTGGGGATTGAATACAAGACAAGGAAAAAAGCAAAACAACAACCTCCAGATGAACAAAACAGGTAACATGCCATTTAAGAAAATTGGAAAAATAATTATTTCCAGCGATTATTGACTAGGCAGAGGTCAAACATTCAGTAATCTAAGTGAAACTGAGTCAAATAAATATCTTAAATGCAAAAGTAAAAACTAACGATATACGAATGAATAATGGTAAAGCTCCAGGTCGAGAAAGCACTGAAATCTGGAATAAAAGCTGAATTCGCGGAGTTTTGAAAAGCCGCTAAAGGCGATTGAAGGTTTTGAGCGTAACTGGTAAATAAATCGAACGTCTTAAGAGAACGATTCTTTTTTGCCATTTAATCAACAAATTGCATAGGAAAATTCCCAGTTATTGGACAGTAATTGGAATGAACTTCTGATGTTCGACATTAAATTTTATACATTTTTCCAAGTCACTTACATTTGAACGGGGCTTTTAAATTAAAAGCTTTTCTAGACCTAGCCGAACTAATATAATCACAAATTGTCGTGTTGTTGCGGCAAAATTGTCATAATGTAAGTGGTTTTTTGGAAACTTTACCACTTCGAGGAGTTGACATTGCTGAGCTTTCTTATTCAGATAAACAGCGATGGAGTTTCTTCTCAGGTTAGTTGAAAAATTTAATTATTCTAAAATGAAATTGGCTCAGAAAGGAAAAAGGTTGTAAGTTTGGCACCATTAAATTGTTAGTCACAGACATACTTCTGTTTGTTTATTTGATTGATTCGATCAATAAAGGGGCGATAAAAATCAGCAAATTAAAAATAATACGTGATGTACTTATGCGGTTAATCCAAAGGCGTGTGTAAGCGATTCTTCCGTAAGGACACCGTAAAGTTAAGGAGTGTGTACATTTTTCCATTTACGAGCATCTTTTGATTGAGAAATATTGACGATTTGGGCATCGCTTTAAGATCCTTAAAGAGCAATAGAAGATTGCAAAATGATTTAAAACATGAGGATGTTTTAAGGATTATTTAGACAGTCTGCAAATACCTATCTTTTAGCATATTGAAACTTTGCTCTTTAGTACTTAAAGAGACTGTTTCTTTCTACATATCTACATTTTACAACTTATAAAATACTTTAAACTCTGATCGTGCTTTGCTCACTAAGCATCAATCAACAAATTTGGGAAAACACCATTTTACCAAATTATCCAACAGGGTTTAAAACAGCTAGTCGGTCTTAAAGGCTATTCTGCACTTACTAAAAAATCACTCGTCAATATAAAATTGCATAGCACTCCTCCTTAAACGACTCCAAAATTTTAAATTATTTTATCTTGAAATCTAAAGCCTCAATTAAAGTAATATTTTTAATGTGCCAACAAACAGTGTTTTTTGAACAATTTTTCGATTAAAGTGCCAGTATATTGGTTTGTCGCACCACTTCTCCCAGGAAGCATTCTCGTCAAATCTCGCAAAACTTTTACATTAAAAATGGTCAGACTCACTAGTCAAAAGAACTATTTGAATAACTTGCCGATATTCTTCTATTGGCATGAACATTTTTTCGTTCTCGAGAATTACTCCAGAAGATTCCAAGCTGCTACTTTTTTATATGCCTTTTAAGTCTATATTTTTATATAACTATTTTAGCGACTCGAGTGGCGGTTTACCCTCTAAAACTCTCAATATTTTCACATTATATTTTTTCGAAATATTTTGAGCTGGGTTGTGTTAAAAATGGCTACATGTTTTTTATGTAATGCTCAGGAATATTTTGGTTTAAAATACTCTAGAAGTGTCTTTTTCGTAAAAACATTTGTAGTTTTTCTAGTACACAACTTCTTAAAAGGAATATTGTGGCAAAAGCTTAAAAATGAAAAGTGCATTTTGGAAATGGCAGTGGAAACGATTAACAATAATTTGGCAGAGAAAATAAGATTTAAGCAGGAAGTACTTGAAAACTATTTTTTAGATTTAAAAAATTGGAGAATTTTTTGCAAATTTTCCGGTAATTAGTTTTTATCAAGCTTAAGATTAGTACTCAATCTTCGATTGTATAATTGCAGATTAATCAGACGATTATTTTGGTGGAAATGTGTCCAAAATGCAGACCATTGGAATTCAGGAAACTAGAAAGTTCTAAGCGATTTAAAATGTTGGAAATGAGAAAAGATGCATGGAAACATAATTTAAAAGCTAATTTTAAAACGCGCGGAAAACCCTTTTCATAGAAAGTTACAGTTTTTAGATAAGAGAGTAAACGTTTCAAAAAGAATTCAAATTCAAAATTTTATTTTCCGTCTGAAACAACAAGAAAACACTAGAACCATCTTCAAGTGTTAATGCTCTTAAAAATATAACTTGATCACGTTGGGTTTCTTTGGCAAAAATAAGTCGTTTATTTAACAAAGCCTTGACTAATACTGACTTCACTGAAACCTATTGAAAAATCAGTTGGTTTCAGTGAATTTCTTACCTAAAATGCAGCTTGCAAGTCGGTCCAGGCTCCATTGACGGTCTGTCCAGGGGCACTATCTGTTCATGTCCCCTTGGAGCCCAATCGGTTATGCGTCCATCCGTTGTTATGACATAATGCACGTCCCTTTCACACGGACATGTGGACAGAATGGTCACGTACGCTTCCTCTTCGGGCTGCCGACAAAGATAATGTTACAATGATGGATGATGTCGATTTTTTACTTAGTTGATGCAGATTTATGTGCCACGCTAATAGTTACTAAAGCATAAAGCATCACGCGATTTGCTTATTTCATTTTCTGGTCGCTCTTTTAATGCTGGTAATTAAGTATTTTTTTAAGAAAAAAATATGATTAAGTGTTAAGATACTATTTTGATCAAACAGAACAGAAAAAAATATACGCTAATAGACTTACATGGTTCTTTTCCCCATAACACTTTTTTAGAATATTTGATTTTTGAAGTGAATTTAATGCAATTTTTTCTGAATAATGTCAATAATGCCTTCCCCGTGATTTCATTTTGTCAAGCCGTTTGAAGAGGAAGACAGAAAGACGGAATTTCGGAAGGTAAAAAAAGAAGCTTTATTTAAAGTCACAGCGAATAATATAAAACTGCTTAAACGACGGCTAACCTGAACAAATAAAACAATTGTGCTGCACTTATAAAATCTCATTTATCAATAAGAACGGTATAAACGCATAAAATCCATCCAAAACAAATTAACTTAAATTGCCTTAAAATATCGGATGTAAATTTATCAGAATAATAAATCTTAAATGTAAAATTTGCGCTTGAACTGTTTAATTATCAGTGGTATTCAAACGATATTTTGGTCAATCAGAACAGAAAAAAAACGCGAATGAATTTTTTCTTTTTGGTTCTCTTTAAGGCAATTCTTTCTGAATAATGGCCAATAATGCCATTCTTCCCTTTGCTTTCATTGTTTTCGTACCGTTTGAAAAGAAAGACTAACTAAAGACTTTGAACTATAAAAAAAACAAGGCCTTATTAGCAACCAAAAGAACACAAAACTTTTTGAAACACAGCAAATCTGATTAAATAAAAAAAAGGTTTGTACTTGTAAAATCTCACAAAACAATAATAACGGTATAAACCCATAAAATACACCTATATCAAATTAATTTAAGTTGCCTTTAAAATGCCGGATGTAAATTAATCAAAATAATAAATCTTAAATATAAAATTTCCGCAATGAGTAATAAAAGCCAAATATGAAATAGAAACAGATTGGGTGACATTTTAACAAAATGCAGAATTTATAACACACTAACAATAGAGATAATACAATTAAGATAAATACGTTTTGAAACTAAAATCAACGAACGTAAAACTAAAAGTACTTTAAAGTAAACACGATATAGTAAAATTATGAAAAACGTTCGTAAATTCACTCGGTATGATGTAAGTACATCATGATCCAGAGACTTTACTTAAAAATTAAAGTTCAGAAAAACTCAGAAAAAAATATTTGATCAGCGCTTTTATTGTTGCATTTTCTCCAAAAAATATTAATTTAATATTGCAATAAAAATCACGCATCCAGCAGATTTGATTTTTAAACAAGCTCCAATTAGGCAGTGTCCAGTTAAAAGTTGCAAGCATATGAAAATTATTCTGATATTTGTGCACTGTTCAAAAAGCAAAGCCTAAATAATTTAAACATTATTTTTCCCTTTTGTGCAAACAAATAAATATTTTGCCAGTTTAGTTTTAACATTGAAATAATTAAGATATAGTACCACTAATGTTATTTAGAAGTGCACAAAAAAGGAAGGATCTGATTATTTCGAGGCTCTGATTATACCAGGAAATTTGTTTCATTTGATATATTGCCACTTCAAACACTGTAATGCTTATAAAATTCAATTCTTTCAGCCCTCATTAGTTACATGTTTTTTCTCAACTCTGTCTCGCACTGAGTGGACGACGGTATAGTTCAGGGAGTTATCGCTTTTAAAACATCGCGTTATTAATTGAGAAAAATTTTCGATTTGGTATGTTGTCTGCTTTTGTTTGAGATTGTAATTATTAAAGTATATTTCTGTTATAATTCCTACCTGTGAATTATGAAAGGTATTATGAAATGTAGGTTCAACTATTTGAAAAAAATGTGTGTGGCTGTTTTTTAATGTTTCTGTTAATTTTCCTGCCGGAGGAATAAAACAGCCTGCTCAGAGGTTTAGAAAGCTAAGTAAGAACTATTAAATTTTTGAGTATGTTAAAATAATTGAGTTTTCCAACTCTGCTTAAACAAAGCGCATACTTTTTGGGTGTTTTTTTCAAATAAATACACCAAGCATGCCCGCTGAGCAATAAATAATTACTCATCTGCTTTAACAAGATCCCGTTGTCTTTTAAAGGGAAGGCTTCCTGTGCGGACATGTGAACAACATCATTACGTATATGGTTTTTCTGACGGGAGGTAAAGAAATCGGAGAAGACATGGGATAACAAGTCTGCGCCTGATGGCTGTGGGAGATTGAATAATGGAGTAGGTCTTTGTTTAGTTTTAGCTCTAGCTACAATACATCGGTCTCGAATACTGTTGAGCCAAATGGATTTGTGAAAATTCCTGTTTTTATTGTGAGACATTTTGGAGTTGGTCAATGTTTTTATGAGTAACAGGTTTTTGCGGTTTATAATTTGGTATCAGATATGAAACCATTATTAAAATCTAATCCCCTGTTTTGAAATTAATGAATGAAAGACGAACCCACCTATCAAACTAGAAGCAGAATTTTTAACAATTCTCAGATTACTCTTTTGTTTTCATCTTGTACATTGCTATAAGTTTCCAAATTATGTTCGCGTAAAACCAAACGTTCCAAATGATGCAAAATTTGTTATAGTGGGTTTGACTGAGGTTCTGAAATGTCCATTGCATTTTGGAGTGTTCGGTATATTTTACCTTATATATATTTGAAACAGTTTTGAAGAACACATCACCTAAAAAAAATTGAAAAATTTTAAATCTCGTTGGTTTTTCATTCGTATAGTGTATGCATGAGGAGTTGTGTTAAGGTGACAATTATTGAAATTTACAGGAACTAGAGCAGTTGTTCTACAATAACGTGCCGAAGAAAATTTTTACAAGAGCAGTTCTTATTTAATGTTTTAGCAATTTTTACACCCTCTATAATTTCTCACTAAAGTATTCCGACTTTCAACACATTTTAGGTATGTTTTTGAAAACTCTTCTTAACTTTTGAAAAAGAAAACGATCACTTAAATTTTGTTAGATCACATTTTGAAATTAAATCTCTAGAAAAATTAATTAACGGAAAAAAAGCTTGTTTGCAAAATTCTTTAAAATGAAATAATAAACAATATGAAGAAAACAAAAAAGTGAAACTAGACATTTGCTTTTGGAAAACGGAAAAAAGTTCTCTCGGAGATTCATTCTCTCTTCAAATTCATTTTTCCGTATTAGTTTAGATAGAAAACTTCTGGTTTAAAAATTTAGTTTTTGTGAATTAAGGTCTTGTAGCAACAAAACAAAGTCATGAATTACATCGAATATGTTCATTACATGAATTTTGTAAATCTTTATCTATAATTTACCACGAAAACGACTGTAGGCGTTCAAAGAAAAATGTTTTGTTTTGGTTCGTTTGGCAGTTTCGCATATTAGCTGTTTGCGTTTTTTAAGCACTTGTTCTCACTGTCTTACATCAGCATAAATATGAAAATAAAACATTGCTTTTTAGAAGGAATATCTGGAAAGTGGAACTAACATTCATATTTTTACTAATACATATCTCGAGTATTATTGAAGTAAGCTTCAGAAATTTGCAAACCAAATGGACTTCAATTTGGAGTGATAAAATGGTGAGTTAACATCAAGAGTGATAACAGGTTTAATTGTCGAATACCTTAAGTCTGCATCATCAACAGCAACAAATTGTCCTTAACTGTAGAGTCTGTTCTATACTTTCGCTGAATAAAATTCTCCTAACTTCTCTATGAAATGATCAATTTAAAAATATATTTTACCATAATCTCAAGTCTAAGACAATTTGACTCGTCATTTTCGCTTACTACATTGGAGAAAACATGGAATCACGTTTTTTTATGATTTTTCGGCAACACCATGTACGATTCCATTTTACTTCAATCCGAAATGTCGAACCTGGTTCGGGAAAAAACGAAAATATTTATAAGAAGACGAAACCTAAAAAATATTAGACTGGTTTCATTAAAGCAGAAACGCACAGGGTGTTTCAAAAAGCCCGTTGTGTTACTCATTATTGGTTAGAGAAGACAGTAAATATCAATTTTTTATACTTAGAATATCACATGCAGAGTCATGCTATCAATCAAAAATGCCCGAAGTCGGTTAATTGTAATAAAAATTAGAATACTTTTAACTTTATTTTTCAAAAAATCTGAGCGGCACTTTACGGGAATCTGAGCTCATTTTATTTACAAATAAAACTATACATCTGAAAGCTCGTAACCATACACTTTAAAAGTGGACCCGTTATATACACCATAATAAGCTATAAGCCGAAAGTAAAGTGTGCGTCATACCCTATAAGATTGTGTAAAACCGGCACTTTACAATGATGTAAAACCAGGACGATTTCTGGTTTGCATTTATGTTTAATATTTATTTGTAATTTAGCACAGGAACGATTGTAGGCCCTAAAAAATAACTTTTTTGGCAGACCTTTACACATTGACCTGGCGTCGTTCAGGCACTCATCCTCAGTATTATTACTTTCTCAACATCAGCATGAATATGAAAGTAACAAAAATGCTTCTTTACTGATGGACTCCACTTTTGAGTGTTAACATTCTGGCGCAACACATAAATCCAGCTGATAATCTGACAACGATTAATTGTCGAAACACTTAAATCTGCATCAACAGCAACGACAAATTTCCCTTACCTGTAGCGTGTGTTCCACACCTTCGATTAACAAATAGCAGTCTGATGAGGAATTCCATTTGCGAATTGGTTCCCTTGCCAAAACGTAATGGCTCTCGATCTCTTTGCTTTCCACCGAGACCAATTCCGCCTGCAACAAAATAGAGAACCGTCTTAGAATTCCTGATGTTCCGTAAAGATAAAAGCGAAGTTGGTGGAAATATTTTATTTGTTACGTCGACATGTTTGCGGTCTGCCAAACTTTTTATTTGGCCAATTTATAGGCTTGACATGGTTGTGAATTTGTAAAATGCCAGGGGACCTGAAGTATGGTTATTGGATGATTGCTTTGCCAAATATTTCAGCGTTTCACTTCCATAAATATTCAGTAGGTTCATGCTTAGGCAGACTCTTAGCCAGATTCTGCTATTTTGTTGTCTCTAAATTAGTGAATTGAATCATTTAATTTAGAAATCTCTACAACCCTGTTGTTCCAAAAATTCTGGTACATTATTTGCCATCATCGTTGCAAAACCTCAAATTTTCATAGACCATCCCTATCACGTGGCAATTTAAATACAAGGAAAAAGGAACCTCGCTGCCCCAGGATATTTCTCAAATTTATGACTACCACCAGCACAAGTTATTGTTGTTGTTTGCTCCGTGCAAGATTTATACGCTAATAGGATTAGAGCGTAACTGGAATTTTGGAGCGAAGGCAAAAAGTAAGGCGCGATGGGGACACAATCGATTTGGTTATTTTCGACTTCATTGTCGGAACTTTGCCGGTGAAATGAAAATAAATAACTGAGCAGAGGCTTAATGTTGGACAATAAAAACACAAGTTGGACTGATGGAACAGGATTAATCGACTGTAATAGACGAATAAGGCAATGAAAGTGCATAAATTGAAGATAATATTATATTTTGTGTTGAAACTTTAATAGTTTTTTGTACTTTAAATGCCAATTTTAGATGCGCCATGAGCTACTAATTAAGTTCTAGCCGCTGAGAATATGCGGATTTTTCTATATCTTAACATTAACATTTTTTATTTATATTCACCAATTTTTGATTACTGATTTGAATAAAATTGCAAACATTATAAGCAGTCTGACCAAAAGAAAAGTGGTTAATATTAAATTGATTTAAACAGTAAATAAATCCCATTTTAATCATCAGCTTTTGCAGCGGCTCAATGTTATTTCACCAAATTAAACATTCAAGTTTGCTCAACGGTTTTTCTAGTTTTCTTTATGGATGAACTTAAATTTACATCTGAACTTTCAATCAAACAATCATTTAGTTAATATTCTTTTGAATTTTTTATGTCTTTTTACCAAGTGTTTTCGATACTCATTGCATGCACCAAATTGCAGATATTACAAGCACTTTCACTTTTGTAAACGTGTTAAAAATTTCTGGATTTTATCAGTAAAAAAAATTTGCAGATGCACAATTTTATTTCATCAAGTTCAGCCAAAATTTAGATTTGTCTTTCGATAAACTATTTTTATTTTGTGATTTTTATTTTAGGTGAAGAATATGAACCTACTTCTGAACTTCGGAATCACTTAATTAATTTTCTTCCCAACTATTTTTATTGAAATTCCCAATTTTTTTGTTACTCATTTGCTGCAAATCGCAAACATTACAAGCGCACTTAGTAGTGTAAAAGTGTTTGAAAATTGCTGGATTTTAACAGTCAACATATCTCATTTCAAACGTTTAAAAATTAAAATACATAACATAAAGAAATTAATTTGATTAAATTCAACCTACATTTAGATTTTTAATTTTCATCTTGAACTCTTATTATCTTCTGGTTTTATTTAAAGGTAAGTATTATAAATTGACTTCCAAACTTTCCGAGAAATGTTGACTACTCATTTGCATCAAATCGCAAATCACTATTGTAAAAGTGTAGAACAATTGCCGGATTTAAACCGTAAATAGGTCCCATTTTAAACATCAAGTTTTGCAGCTGGACAATTGTATTTCGTAAAATTCAAAATATTTACTGGGGAAAATGTAAAAATAATATTATATTTACTCACGTGGAAAGGCGTGTTCGTTTATGTACGGTGTAAAACAAGTTAACTGAATTTCTCATTAACTATATGCGAACAAACAGATGAACATTCTAGCTTGTATGAACACATATTTATGATTGCGAATAATGTAATTTTTCAGAATGGAAAATATTTTCTATTATTATGACAATTTAAATTCGCGGGTTTTATTAAATGATATGAACTATGCGGAAATATATAGATGTTTAATACTTCTTTTGCACGATTCAACACTTTTACCTGCTGACTGACCTTAACGAAAAAAACTCAGTTCCAACAAAAATTTATCCAATTTGATATGGTTCAAATTTTTCTAACTTTTATACTAATTAATCAATTTAAATATATTTTTTTCGTTTGTAGCTTAATTAGTTAGCGATTATCTCAAGAGTAAGACTTGCCAATTATTCATTTTCTATTAAAAGTAATGGAGCAATCATCCAGTGACACTCTTTATAATTCTGTGTAATGTAGTCTCTAATCTTTTCGAGTATGGGTTGAAATAATGGAAATTTTAATAAGAAGACACAATTTTAAATAATTTTTCTAGACTTATTTTCATTAAAACGGAAACGCACCGTGTAAAAAACTGATAAAGAAAATGGCTCGGTGTACTATTGGTCAAAGAAAAAAGAAAAGTCAACCACATTTTTAACTCTTAAAATAACATCCAGATGATTTCAAATAAAAAATAATTAAATATGTTTTTTGGAATTGAGTGGATTTCCTCATTCTATTTATAAATAACGCTATATGTCTTAAAGCTAGGTGCTTGTAACTATACACCTTCAAAGTGGGCTCGTTACATTAAATACTATAATAAACTATAAGCCGCAAAGTAATGTGTGTGTCATACCCTATAATATTGTGTCAAACCGTTCTTTACACATGATATAAAACCGGGACGTTACCATCAGCTTTTATGGGGGCCATTTATTCCTGCAACTTGTCCTGCAAGGAAATCGTAAGAGCACGATAACGTAATCCCAATAATATTTTTCCTGATTTATAGTTGTTCTGTTAAGAGTAAAGGGCAGTAAAGGAATTTATGGTGTTCGGTATGGATCGATGCAGAATAGCTTTGCTAAAAAATTGCTGTTATTAATGCATAAAGGTACCCTATCTCAAACAACTCAGTTTTTTAAAACTGTGTTGCATTCGCTGATCTTTCCATTTATTAGCTTCTCAACATAATTCTCCTATTATCATGCAACCGCCTCAACACGATCAATCTATTAAATTTACCTTTGTTCCACGCCCCATGATTAGATGTTCGGCTAGGCACATTAATGTTATTTTCTTATAGAACAGTGTAGGATTAGCTAAGCAATATAACACTGATGTTTATCATATTAGGATGTTGCTGATAACAGGTCATGTTGATGAAGGTAAGGAATTCTTCATTATAGTCTTGTTCGTATTAAGAACAATAGTTGGAAAAAAGTTTAAATCTTTGTGCATATTTACCTCAAAATTTGCCAAACGTTTTTGTCGGGGTTTCGTTGAGTTTTTCCATTTTTGTATTTATATTAAATAAAAGTGCTCATTTGAGTTACATCTGTTTTCGTTTCGGTTTATTTAAATCTTTTTTAGCTTTAAAACTTTGAAGCGAACATACTTTTTCCATGTATAATTTAGGAAGGAAATATAAATATACAAAATAGATCGTAAAAAGTCTGTAAAACTGGATGTAGTTGGCGTGGGTGAAATGGAACATTTGGCAGAAGAAGAAAGTTACCTTCTAACATTAATGCTCAGGTCGTATTGGACTTTTTAACAATTTGGCACATGATGGTGCAGAAACAGGAACATTTGATCAAGATGTTTTGCGAGAAATCAACGAAAATCGAGCACTTGTTAAATATTTCTTTGCAAAATCGGAAAAACTAGAGAATGGCTTAAAAAGTTTATGACAAATTTTAGTTACAATTAAGGCGCTAAAATCTAAGAAAAATTCATCTAAATAAGTCTGGATGTAGTAAGTGAAAGTAAACAGGGCGACTCAAAGTTAGGCTGCCTAATTTCCATGTTCAAAGAAGAATAGTTGCGAACATCTTTACAAAAACAAGTCCGCAAATGTTCCGTTTATTAGTTCAAACAAACAATCTTCATCTTGTTTAAAATTTTATTTTGAGCAAGGCTTTAATTCAGTATTTGTTAATTTCAATTTTGTTGAGTTTGTTTGTTGCCGTTTCTTGGTGCAACATTATTTGATGATTGATTCATTTAGAAGGTGCCTTTGACATTCTTCCTCTTCGCATTATTATTCAATCATACTATAGAGCACCACCAAATTACTTGAAATCGATGGAAAATATAAGAGCGATTGGAGAGACAATAAATTCCAAAACAACGAATGGATAATTTAAGTTTTTAGGAATAAGTTAACAGTAACGCTGAGCAAAAGAGATTTTATGAAGAAAAGTGATCATAATATTACAATTAAATTACACCCCAGAGTGTGCCAACTATTTCGCATAACGAAGGATGAAGTAAATAAATTAGCAAATTTTCATAAATGCATCGTTTTACCTTTAAAAGCTGCCTAGCAAAAACTGGACAAAGGTATGCTTTTGACGCCGTGTGTCTTGTATCTTATCCTTTTTTGTTGTAATTTAAAAAATCGTTTTAAGGCAACTAATTTACTTACTTGCAAATGAATAACGTCACTATCGGCCATGATAGCTGGCACCAGAAAAGTGCCCTCACCATTGGAGATTTCAATGTCTTGAGAGTAGATTGATGTGGTATTATCGTAGACCTTGACTCGAACTCGTACGGATTTTTCAGTGCTCATAGCTTCCACCTGAAAATTACATATATTCGCGTCTTTAAAAACGTTTCACTTAAATTCCTTATTGTACATTTTCACACCGTTGATTTTAATATTTATGAGAACTATCACTAGCAAACACATTCTCCTTCCTCATTTTTCGCTTTAGTTTCATTTTAACCAGTCTTTGCTGTTGTCTTGATCACATGCAAAACGGCTTTGAAACGTACCATTGAATTGCAGCGTACTTTTCTTTCTATTGCATTTGAACTGCAAATTGACTATCGAATAAGCTGAGAGAATATCAAGTCGAGCAGCTAGCGTCTCGAAACGTTTGCCTTAACTTTCCTTATTTCGTCAATAACGCAAATACGATGCAATTTTCATACTTTGTATGTATTACGGCTCTTTTATGCCATACTGAGAGGCAATTTTCTTGCCGTTTGAGATTTCAGATCAATGTTGACAGCCCCATTACAAAAGGAGTTTATTTCGTGAAAGAATGTAAGCAAATAAAAGCACATTGCAAAAATTTACATTTTTTAAAGTAATTTTTAGCAAGAAGATAAGAAGAAATGGTTACTTAATGATGGTTTCGCAGTAATAAGTTATTTGCCTAAATGACAGAAGTAAGTGGGTTCCACTGACAATGCCAAGGAATACAATCGCAGCACAAAATGGCAAAAAAACTCAAAATTGCTACTTATCTCTATTGAAAAAAAAATTTGTAGAACAAAACATCCGTTTCTTGCGTTTTAAAATTGCCTGATTGTAATTGTTATTACAATCAGATTTGGCTCAACTAGCTACGTCTGTGGATGAATAATTTTACTAGAAATTATTTCCTAGACATGGAACTTGTCGCTTGATTTTCGTTCAAATCCTCCTAAGTTTAGTTAAGTAAAATTTCTTAGATGCACTTGGCTTTCGTGGGAAATTGAAACTTCGGAAGCTTAGAGATGCTGCTAGTTTGCTCTATCAACTGCAAACTCTTTGGCAAATCTCCACCTGATTGATTTTACGAGAGGAAAATCTTCTAATCAAGCGTTAACAGCTGTTAGTTTCCAATCGCTTTAGATAAAATAGAGGGATGCTACGAAAGACGTAATTTTTTCCATTCTTCGAAACGTTTTCGTTTTGTGGAGGTAACTATATTGACGTATAATCTCCGACTGAATATCAGAAATAATTAAATTTACTAGCAGGACTTGCATCCAGTTTTTCAATGGCTCTAAGAAAAGTGCGAAAGAACTGAAAAATTCATTCTATAGTTCGAGTTGTAGATTATTAAGACCTTTGCTTACACAGTTGATCTAAGCAGTTGATTCATGCTTGCAATGCACCTTTTTGTTTATATTTTAATGCCGTTAGAATAAATTAGACCGTTATAATATTAATAGACTGGATCGGTTACTGATATTGTAAGGCCTGGTTCAGCTGAAAATATCGCTGTTGCTTCTCAAAGTGTGGAGGAATACCCGAATTCGTGGATTTCCCGACGTGCTCAACATTTAGGCTCGTCTTACGGCTCATTGTGGCGACTTTTGCAATTTGAAACTCGAGGCGATCCGAAAGACCGTGTTTTCGCCAACAGTCCTCAAACTCTTGAGCTACTGAAAGCCAATATCCGTGAAGTTATGACCGAGATATTACCGGTAATGTGCCGAAAAGTCATTTAAAATTACCTCAAAAGATTTGAGGCCTGCAGGAGTTCTCGTGGAGGACATTTAAATAATATTGCTTTCACGTATAATGGCTAGGTTTAATGTTTATATCAAATTAAAGATTCGTCTCCATGTGAATATTTAATGTGTTTTTTTTACTTTACTTTCCCAAGCATAAAATGGATGACCCTGTATATTAAGTTTGGAAAATTGCATACAATTACCTGGTGATGACAATAAATTTGCATTTTCCGTTCTATATGTTAAAATAATAAATCATGGTATAAGTAAGCGCCTTCCAAATATCTCTTGACACTATCGAGTATTTTTTGTAGGATCTTATCTGCGGAGTTAATTAAAACTTAAAACTTTTTGTGATTGATGGACCAAATCGCTCCCAAAAAGGTAGAGCAAATCGCTCTCATCATCTCTCATATTGGAAATTTGCGGAACAAATACCGAGTTGGGTAAGTAAACTTCAAAAATCGAGGAATTTTTCGAAGAATGATGTAGCAAGTACAGATCCTGAAATTTGTTAATTTCAGGCATCCAACCCTGAACAATTTTGAGCCATTAGCTCTCATCAGCTGTTTTGGCCTGAAATCAACATAATTTGCAAAACAGAAAAAGTTTGCTCATTCTGCATTCCTATTTTCAATATCAATGTTTGAACCTTTCTCCAATTTTCTTGCGGTTTTTACATTTAGCGTATTCCGTTAGTTTTTTTCAGAATTACACTAAACATTGGAAATGAGAATTGAAGATGATTTATTGTCTAATACATTGAAAATTTGCGTAAATCGCTTAATGCATCGTCGAGGTAAACGTTTTTACACTTTGAGTTTTCAAAGTATTTTTCCAAAATGACGTTCAACATTGAAAAGCAGAATAATACAGCTGATTAAGATTTTTTTGTCTAATACACTGAAAATGGGCGTAAATTTACTTAAGTCACCGCTGAGATAAACATTTTTGAACTCTGACGCTTCTTCTATTTTTGCACTTTACGATCTCACGGTTCGTATTTATAAAATCGAGCAAAATATCCGCATTTGATTCATTTTTTTTCGATATAAATTTTTGAATTTTGCCAATTTTCGAGAGATTTTTAGACTGCGTTTTCAAAGCCAATTTCGTCGTAATAAGGTTTAACATCGCAAAAAAGATTAGAGCATCTAATTGAGATGTTTTTGTCTGATAGACTTTGACAATTTGTGTAAATTCGCTTAATTCATCGTTGGGATAAATATTTTTCACCGTGGACGTTTCTTCTGGTGTTCCAAAATCAGGCCAAATATTCAAAATTGACTTCCATTTATTCAATATCATCCTTTCTATTAACTTGACAGACTCTGGGACTCTTTGATTCATTTCTCGCTTCGAAATTAATTTTTGAACTTTGGAAACTTTTTTGCACTTTTGATACTTTGCGCTTTCAAAACCAATCTTCTCATAATGACGCATCGTAAATTTGATTTTAGCAACTGATCAGGATATGGTGTTGTCGGGATATGGTAAAAATTTTAATACATGTGTTTAATTCAGAGTTGATTTATAGGTTTTTGAATTTGGACGATTTGCCTGTTTCCACATTTTCCGCTTTCTACGTCGATATTTTAAAATGAGCTCAAATTTTTGTTATTTAAGATTTTCGTTATTTAATAAAAACTGGGATGTATACAAGTAATACAAAATCTGTAAATGAGTATAGGGTAGATGGTGAAATGTATTAGGAATGCCTACTTGAATAAATAAAAAAAAAAACTGTCACAGAAAATGGTTTCATAGAGAACATTAGTATCATTCTTCTTTGCGAGAAGAGTTTTCGATCATTTTTTGGAGCTTTTGGCACTTTGCGCTTTCCAAGTCGATATTTAAAAAAATGTGCTTAATGTCCGAAACTGAATTCAAGCAGCAGAATGACACGGTTTCTGTAAACTCATGGTGTAAATTTAGGAGCATTCCCTTCATTTGATTTGTCGATCAATCAATCATCGAAGTCAATATCTTCATATGAAAAATTGCGAAGTGAATTTCAGCTGTCGATTATTAAGTTGTGTCTGTTTAAAATACTGCAAAAATTTGGGTAAATTCTCTTAAATAATCGGTTAAATATGATTCGATTCGTTCGTCACTTCGTGAGTCGTAACTCGAAGGTAAGAATTATTCATTCTAAGTGGCAGTGTAGTTATAAATGAAAAAGAAGGCAATTATTAAAAAGGACAAATGTTGTCAAGCAAAAAGAATAAGTAATAGTATTTGGTGACTCTTGGAAGAGCAATGTGTGAATAACTCCCACCAATGCTCGGCTTCATTTGATTTAATTTCCCTTGAGATCAACTGAAATTAATTAACTGAACACTTAATCTATCAAAAGTCTTATCTAAGTATCTCCATAAATATCTCCTTGATAAATCGGTGAAGATTATAAACACGTTCCAGCCATAACAGACGTATAAATCACCAGCATTCCATGGTTATCATATAGTTCAGCTTATTGAAGTGTGTCAACTGAATTGAAAGCCCTGCACGGATATCACAAACAAAGCTCAGAAAGTAACAATGTCTTTCCATCTTTTATTACATTTATTTCTCAATATCGCCAGCACGACAGTTCGCTCCCTTTGGAATAGAAATTTATTTTCCGAATGTCTCGGATGTTTATTTAGTTTGCGGAGATTGTGCGGAATTATGTTTCGTTCTATGAAGAGAAAGTAACAATTTATTTGCATTAGCTACACCGGTTTTTATTTAGTGCAAAGAGAAGTGATCAATTTTTTTTCTTCAGAAATTTCTACCGAGACAAATAAATCGCCTTGACGATGAAATATATATCGCTACTAAAAACTTGAATTATACTCGCTTAAGATAATGCACACTTTTATGCCATTTATTTTCCCGAAAATTCCCAAAATGCAACAGTTACTGCTTGGAAACCAATTTAAAAGATTCATGGACAAGGAGTTCAAAAATTTATGGCCTTTTACCCTAATAATAAGTTTTTATTCCTCGAAATGGAGCCCATAGATTCTTCCAAGAAACTTCTTTGGTTATTCCGGGGTTTTGGTCTTTAAGTTATCGCCACAATTTCCCAATTTATTTGTCTACCAAATAAAAGTGAACTACACACCAAGTGATCGATTTTCTCGTTAGTTTCGCCCCAAGAAGAAACTTTGTTTGTATTTAATCGTTTACACATTAATGGATTAAGAAATTATTGAAAGAGGCCTGGTATATGGAAAATGTAAGACATTCAATAAGTGAAAAAATGACGAAAAAATTATATATACGCCCGATTTAATGAAAGACCGTATAAATTTATTTATTAAAAATTCCTCCCAAGAATGATAAGCAAAATCGGTAGGAAGGTAAATTAAGAGAAAAAATACACTTTTTCTAAAGCGTCCGATTTTATGTAACTTTCAAAATTACGCCAATTATTCCATCTTTTTGCCGTTGTAAGAACAGGATTTATATAAACTCATAAATTATATACATATTAGTTTATTTGACGTTTGTAGGTCACTACTTCATATTATTGAACCTCTATTTCCAGACAGATTGTGTTTATGAACGTATGAACTAATCAGGCTTAAAAATATGTATTATTGACCAATTAACTTCATTTATAATTTTACAAAAAAAAATGTTTTGGTGAAATATGGCAAAAATTATAAGATCTATTGTAACAGTTTACGGCTTTGTCATTATAGAGGGAAAACAGGTACTGAGACCTGAATTTGGGAATAAAATGTCGGATCATGTAATTAATTTTAATAGATACTAAAATTCTGCTGCGGTTTATAAACCTTGCTATAGCTTTGAATAATGCTTAGTATGAAAAGTTACGGACATTCTAATAATAATTATTTTGCTGCACACTTTCTCAGTAATAATTTTAAAACATTTTGGAATAAACTCCAGACTTGCTGCAGTTTATCTGCAATAATCACCTCCAACTTTTAAGAGAAAATATGCTTTATGGGAAATGAAATTCCACAAGATGTAACTTTGCTAATGAATTTTGGTATAAAGAAGAAAATTATTAATTGTGAAAATGACACAGTTTTCATATGAAAAAAATGAATGGAAATTGTTGTTATCTATTCGTTGACTTTTTGATTCCTGAACCTTCATTGCTTGATTTTCAGACTGCTCAGAAATGTAAGAAGCAAATCGATTGAAACGGTTTGCTGATTATCGTTTAATCAGTCTCATTTTCTACATAATTAATCCATTTCTCTGCGTTATTTAGGGTCAAAGCTTTTGAAGAATCTCAGTTTGATTTTATGTTTAAAATTTAATGTGTGCTCCAGAAATAGTGACCAGTGAAGAAATGCTTTTGCATACAATATGGACTATTTTATTTGGAGAAAACATTTCAAATACTACGGAAAAGTAAGATAAGCGTTAAAGGTATCCAAAATAATAACAAAGTCTTTGTCTACTGGAAACAAAGAGAAAAAATAACAAATACGATATCAGCAAAGACAATATTGAAATAGAATGAAGGGCAAGACGTACTATGAATATCAGATGTTATGAAAAACATTCGAATAAGAAAAAATATTAAGAGTGCGGAAATTAGTTCATGATATTTTTATATTTTGCGTTTGTTATTTGAATTGTGTCACTATTTGTATTTGCTTATATTCATTTTTTTATTTCAAATTTTAATTTTGAGACGTCTCACGTTCCTCATCGTTTACCCTATTTTTGTACTATATCTGTTTAATTTAACGAATATACTGTTTCCTGTTTTTTCCTCCTGATAAATTGTACATTTTCGAATATCTATATAAATATATATTACTTTTTCTCCTCAAATCAATCAACTGTGGACGATTTAAAGTGCCCACTTTTAATTAATTATCGAAATTTTTTAATGCTTACTTTTCCTGAGAAAGGAAGTCCCGGTTTATATCTCCTGCGCATTTCTGTTCCAAATTTCAATTCAACGTAGTGTTCTTCAGCTACAGAGATGTCGGGCTGACCAATACCGATGCCTGGTGCCACTTCATACGTGCAGAAGAATTGCGATTGCTCAACTTCCACAGTAATTGTCCATCTTCCAGTCAGGGCGTAAGGACTTAAAGGAAGCGTATAAGCTAAAACGCCTGGAATATAAAACAAAAAAATTGAATGAAAACAAAGCGACAGGTTGACTAATATTTCATGAATATATAAATGTGTGAAAAATAATGTATTCCTTCTTAAATATTACATTGACAAATTGGATTATAGAAAATAGATTTAGCGAAAACAAGCACTTTTCTGTGTTTTTAGCTCTTTAAAGCAAAATCCATAGCAAAACAAACAACACTTTATAGTCCAAAATTGGCTCTCGTAAAAGATACAAATAATACTTAAAATCCCAAGCATTTATTAAGCGATTAAAATAGAAGTAACCCGTCAGACTACTCGAGTGGATTATTTGGTGAACTATTGTTTGCGCTCGTTAAAATCGAAATGGCGAATTTATTTAGTATTTATCGAGCTACAGTCACATTTATGTGTTCCGAAATTAAATAGTTCAGCTATAATTGTAGCTATAATTGCTGCTCATGCATGTGTTAACACTAGGATTGATATCGATTTTAGTTGGAGCCAAATAGTCTTTTAATTTCGTATATGAGTGGAAAATTATAACCTTTAACTGAACAATTGGAATCACAGAACGCAAGAAATGTGTAAAGCCTTAATGTGCAAATCGTCGGGACGATGCAAAGGCGACAATCGAAACGAGAAAAGCATTACATTAGGACGAGGTTTTTATATGTACAAGCTCGACAGGAGAAATTGCATTAGTATGTTTAAAACATGTGGGAAAAGGTAATAAAATTTGGTGCGAAAACACATTCGTGAGCCAGAGTTGCGAGAGGCAATTTGGTTTTTTTGTACCTGCAATAGAGGCCGTTAGTCTTAACGATTGCTTTTTGTGCTGTTCTAATCAAAAACAAAAAGATGTCTAAATAGGTTTTATTTAATTGGATCCACCAAAATTAGAACAACCCAAAAAAATTAAATTTTCAACCACAAAGTTTTCAATTCCAAAGACATCAACTTGAGACGTTTGAGCGCTTCAGCAGTAGATACAATTGTGCTCTTAATTGCACAAGTTTTTTAAGTTTTTAAAATAAAAATTTTTTACTTAAAAACTTTAGTGTTTTATCGTTGCGTAAAAATACGTAGAAAAACTTTTGAACCCGTTTTATCTCCTAAATCTTGAGCACAAGCTTGATGATTTAACACTATAGAAGCAAATAGACGATTTAATTGACATTTTTCATTGAAGAATTAAATATTTAATTAAAAATTACCTTCATCAAAAGACACCTGATCCCATATAGCCACTTTGGTTCCTTGTGGATCTTTTACGCTAATTGTCCCAATGGTGCCAGATGCAATTTGTAAATCGTGATCCAGTGCGAGTATCCAGAATGAGACTGAAAAACAAAATAAACAATTTTAAATGAAACAAATACATTTATTGACTTTCAATGAGGGAAGCGTGAATAA